GAGTCAAACACATGGGCTTAAGAGTAAAGCACAACTTTGGATTGCAGTTCACCCTCATCACTCCTCATCTTCTCCATATGAAGATAACATTTTTATAAGCCCTTTCAATTAACCCCTCATCCTTTAAAGGGAGTTTAGAAAACCTCAGGTTTTAATAGTATTAATCCTTCTGTTTAAACCAGGAGGACTGCAAAATTTAACCAAGTATCTCCAGCCAATTATTCACTCAAACGATTGCTGCCTCATCCATTCAGAACAGACCTCCCAGCCACCAGGTTGAGGTTGACCTGGCTAACAAGTTGTGGAAACCTTTTTTTACCTGCTCAAGCAAATGACACTTGAACCTTACTCTCAGCTGAACTGGTCAAAGTGGGGAGGAATGCCTACACATACCAAACTGAGTATAGAAATATATTTCATTCAATAAGGAAACAGGAGGAAAAGGAGAGAAAGAAGAAAAGGAAATAAGGGATAAGGCAGATTAAGGGAGAGATTATTCTTACACAAAATATATTCTAAGGATTTACAAAAATATTTATTGCAGCTCTTTTTGTGGTGGCAAAGTATTAGAAACTGAGGAGGTGCCCATTAATTGGGGAATGGCTAGACAAATTACTGTATATAATTGTGATGGAATACTCCTATGCTTAAGAAATGATAAAGTGGATGGTTTCAGAGAAACCTGGGAAGATTTGTATGAATTATTGCAGAGTGAAGTGAGCAGAATGAGGAGAATAACTTATACAATAACAACAACATTGTACTGTCAAACAACTATGAAAGACTTAGGAACTCTGATCAGTGTAATGATGAACCAGGATTCCAGAAGACTCATTCTACTCATCTCCTGATGGAAAGGTGATAGACTCAGAGTAGGGATTGAATTTTTTTTTTTGACATGGCCAGTTCAAGGATTTGCTTTGCTTTACTCTATATATTAATAATAAGAGTTTTGTTTTTCTGTCTTTTTCAATTCGGGGAGAGGGAGAGAAGATAGATTTTTTTCTCATCAAACACCACAATTTTAAACAATAAAAATCAGGAAACTGAAGCCCAGAGAGTTCAAGTTACTTGCCCAAGGTCACACATATAGTTAATGACTACTACTCCTAAGTCTGGCCAAAAAAGAGTGACTCTGACTTGTTTTAGAGTGACATAAATGAATGTATATAGTAGTAGCCCATTGAATCAATCAATCAATCAATACTACCCCATTCAAAGTAACTAACTTTGTCACTTAAGAGCATCTCCATTGAGTCAGTTAATCAGAGGTATGAACTAAATGTGAGCAAGGCCTAAGAATCTCTACTGAAACAATCACTCAAAGGCATTAGACTAGGCATGAGAAGTCTTTAAAAGTTATTGGGTAAAAAAAGAGTGATGTACAGGAGGTGTATTTGGATTGGCTGAGGAAACATATCACCACATTGTAAAGACAAACAGCAGCTTTGAAAGACTTAAGAATTCTGATCAATGCAAAGATCAATCACTATTTCAGTGGATTGATGTTAAACCATGGCTACTCACTTCCTGACAGAGAAGTGATGGATTCAAAATGCATAATGAGACACATATTTTTAGACATGAATTGTGTGGGCATTTTCTTTGCTTGACTATATATATTTGTTACAAGGTTTTGGTTTTCCTTTTAAAGTTGAGGTAATTGAGGGGTAAAGAAAAGAAATGTTTCTTAATTTACAAATTTTGAAAAAGTGAGAAAAAAGTATATGAGCTATTACCCTTGTATCTAGTTCTTATGGATCATGTGACTATAACTCACTGAATTAGGGACTTTCCCACAATCTCCTCATCTGTCTTGCCTTTTAATTCTTTCTTAATTAAATTTTTTGTATTATAATTTTCAAGTCTTCAAATTATTCTTTATTGAGAAAACAGAAGCAAAATAGGCATTGAGTAATTTTACTTTCTGTCTATTAATATCATCTCATTCCCTCCAAACATACAAGCCTATCTCTCTAGCTTTTTTCTTCGTGCCCCCAAGGTTTAAAAAAAAAAGATGCCCCTCCCCTCTTTAAAAGCATTTTACATAAATTTCTGCTTATTCAAGGTTTTAGCCTTTCTGACACTGTTCAAATAGGACCATACCACCCTCAGACATTTACCAGCTATGTGACCCTAGGCAAGTCACTTAACCCTGTTTGCCTCAGTTTCCTCATCTGTAAAATGAGCTAGAGAAGGAAATGGTAGACCACTTGAGTATCTTTGCCAAGAAAACCTGAAATGGGGTCATGAAGAGGCAGACATGACTGAAAAAAAAACGACTACACAACACCCTCTCTATTGGTCCTTGGTTAAGTACTTTCATTTACTCTTTCATTCTTAGACTTTTAGAGCTCAGGCTCATCTGTTTGCTTCCCCAGAAACTGCAGCAGTCTCTGGAATTCCCCATCTTTTCTTCTTTATCAGGATCATAGCAACTATATCTTTGTAATTCTGTTATTGGTAGCTTCACTTTAAATTTTTAGCCAATTTTCTTTCTAAAGTGTTGTGTCATTGATCACAGGAACACAGACTTAAAGCTAACTCCTCAGAATTCATTTGATCCAACTTTCTCATTTTTACAAATGTGAAAACACCCAGGAAAGTGAAGCCACTTAAATAATAGCTGGCATTTGAATCCAGGTCTTTTGACTGAAAATCAAATTATGGGAATCATCCTTACCTTTTTTCTTAAATTTTATTTTTCCATTCATTTTTTTTTCAGTTCCAGAGAATTATACCTATTTAAAAAAAACTTGTTAAAATCCTCACTCTTAAAGTCTAGGATACACATCAGACTATGCCCAGTTTTCCCTTCATATATCATGAGCTAAAAGATTATATGGTCCCTGCTTATCAAGATTTTTATAATTTCTGCTTCACCTGTCTGATTTTCCTTGTGATATCAGGTTCAGAATAGTAGTTCCTGACAGTTTCCTCTGCTTTCTGAAAGATGAAATTATCAGAAAGACAGAAATGTATTAAATTTTGTACTTTTATCAGAGTACTCTAGCAAATGTTCTAATAATTGACATCCCCCATCACAACTTTGTCCTGCCTCTCTAGCAGTTTTATGAATTGTTGCTAACTCCTAATCCATTTCTTCCATCTAGCTATTGTAGAGATGAGGAAACAGAGGCTTGGAGGATGGAAGTGACTAAGTTGTATGGTATACTGGAAAGAGCATTGGACTGAGAAGCAGAAGACTTGGGTTTGAGAACCAGCTTTGCCTTTTACTTGTCATACAACCTTGGACAATTTATTTAACCTCTTTGAGGACATTTTTTTTCAGGATTTAAATTATAGTTTTTTGTTATTCTGAACTTGACAAACATCAACAAATCTGATAATTTCCATATACAAAGGAGAATAGTTTTAAAAAAAGATTGCAGATGAAAAGGTGAATCTCTATTGTGATTAGCTTTTGAAGCATAAATTCAGCACATTGGTTCCAAAGCTATTTTGATTTTAGGGTCTCTGTTTTCTTCTTTGCTTCATACAAAGTTTTCTTGATTCTCTGTTCTTACTTTTGTTTTTTTTTTTTTGGCAGGAGGGCAGGGAGTATCATTATTGGTAGCTCCACTCTCCTCCCTCCCTCCTGTACTCCTGAGAAAACCCTCCATTCTAACAAATAAAGCCAAGTAAAACAAATTCCCATATTGGCCAGATATTAAAATCTATGCTTCAATTTGCACCTAAGTGACATTGGATCACTTATTTAGAGCTGGAAGGGACTTTAGAGGCCATCTCACTGAAGAACAAACAGGCCCAGGGAGGTTAAGCAATTTTCCCAGGATTACATAATAGATAGCAGATGTCAGATGAGGGATTAAAACCAAGGTCCTTACCATGCACAACGTCATAATGTGGGCTGTTGATTGCAAAGGAAGGATATTGAAGGACTCTACTGTGAGGACAAAGGTATTGTGGAATGGGATTCATGGAAAAGGGTTACATCCTGCCAAAGGGTTATAAAAATGAGTGCATTATGAAGACCAGGTTGAACCAGCCAGCCTTCAAGCATCAAGGTTCTCTAATTCCAGGCATTTTCTCTGCTGGTTCCCAGTGACTGGAATGCCCTCTCTCCTCAACTTCACCTACTGATTTGCTTGGCTTCCTTTAAGTCCCAGTTCAAATCCCATCTTTTATTAGAAGCCTTTCCCTGTCCCTCATAATTCTAGTGACTTCCCTCTTAATTATTTCTTATTTATCCTGTATAAGGGCAGCTAGATGGCAAGTGGGTAGAACCCTGGGCCTGGAGTCAAGAAGAATCATCTTCCTGAGTTCAATTGTCATACAGACACATTTTAAAAATTAAATCTTTGGCTAATTTATTTTTTCAGAATTTTAATTTTGCGTTATTCTAAACTTGGTGAACATCAAACATGAACATTTCCGGATACAAAGAGAATCACATGTGATACCATGAATCTCTATTATATAATAGCTTGGTGGGTTTTTAAAAAAATATGTAATAGATTCAACACATTAATTCCGAAGCTGTCTTCTTCTCCGTCTCCCTCTGAACTTCCTTTTGTTTTGTTTCATGCATTTTTTTCAAATGTTTCATTGTTTCTCTCTCTCTCTGTTAACATGGCTGTACCCAGCTCTGCTCTTTCCCTATTAATTCTTCCCTTCCCCATCCCTTATAACAAATAAGCATAGTCACACAACATGAATCCACACATTGATGATGTCTAAAAATGTACATCAAGGCACAGTTTTCCACTCTAGTTCATCATGTCTCTCTGTCAAGAGAAGGGAAGCAGCTTCATCCTCAGTCCTCTGGAGTTGTGGCTGGCCATGGCACAGATCAGAGTGCTTAGGTCTTTAAAGAGTTGTTTTTCTTTACAATGTTGTGATCATCATGTAAATTGTTCTCCTGTTTCTATTCATTTTATTCCATATTAGTTCATATATGTCTTCCCAGTTTTCTCTGAATCCCTTTTTTGTTCAGTCATTTTTCAGTCCTGTCTGACTCTTTGTGACCCCATTTGTGGTTTTCTTGGCAGAGATCCTGGAGTGGTTTGCCATTTCCTTCTCCAAGAGAGATGTACAAACTGGCATAATAACTCATGCCCTCCAATATGATTATCTGCCCCAAGACAGTTTTAGGTAACGTTGATAGGAATCTTGAATGAGGAAAAGATCATGAAATATAAAAAAAATAAAATTTAGATTAACATTATAGAATTAAATAACAATTCCATTCCCTTCTCCTTGTTACTGTTTAGGTCACCACCATCTTCTTGGCAACCTTAGATGTCATCCCACACTCCTCACATTTTCTTATACCTCTTCCCCATCATATCCATTTACAATATCACCCCTTCTCTCCTCTGACACTGTCACCACCCTGGTACAGGCCATTATCACCTAATTTCTGGACTATTGCATTAATCTTCTGGTTATTCTCCCTGCCTCAAATTTCTCCCCGTTTCAACCCATCCTCCACTCAGCTATCAAAGTAATCCTCCTAAAGGCATATCTAATCTTGCTACCTCCTAATTCAATAAATCACAGTGGCTCCCATTACTGTCTATCAGGGGTGGGGAACATGAGGCCTGAGACCACATGTGGCCTTCTAGGTCTTTAGGTGGGCTGTAATTGTGAGGTGTTACAGGCTGTGCAGCACTTATAATTGGTTTCACAGGTTCAGATCTGTACCCACAAAGATACATTCACACTTTTCCTAGCTTATAAATGATTTAATAATGATGATAATCATAAACATACATGCACAAAAATGTGATTACATGTGATCATACAATCTTAGAAACAAAGACTACTAACAGAAAAACAGAGAGATAAAGAGGAAGAAATACATCACCAATCCGAGGAAGCACCAACTCCTGCACATCTGTCTGGGGGAGTCCTGTATCACGGCTGTCAGGGTCTCGGCTGGGAAAGTCACTATGGCAGAGCTCCTCTCCAAGGGGGAGACTCCCAAAGTCACTTTCCCAAGAAAGACCCTTTTTATCATCCTTACACAAAGAAGGCAGGGAGCCAAGGATCAGGTGATTGCTCTTAAGGACCTGAGAGTTTTGGCCAAAACTCTCCGACCTCAAGAACAATCTTTATTATGTCAAAAATGTCTCAGGTCAATACCCAAGAACTGGCCAAGTCCCTGGATGTTTACCTCAAGACCTGTTTTTTAAGGAATAGTTCCCCAAGGTGGGTCTGGGTTGAAACAAATCCCAGAAGAATATGTTAGGGAAGTTCCTTGTCCCTAGCCTTGGGCTGTGGGTAGGGAAGATCTTATACATTAACCCTTCAGTCAGCCTCCAGATCTGAACTATCCATGGATTGGGAACATTGTCTCCTATGGGGCATGCCACAAACATCACTTACACAGAGAGAACCAAAAATATCATCTGCTATGGGGCATGCCACAAACATCACCCTTACAGAGAGAACCAAAAACATGATCATGTCCTGTGGGGTATGCCACAAATATCACCCATACAGAGAGAACCAAAAACATCATCTCCTATGGGGCATGCCAATGGTTGGCATGCCCCATAGGAGATGATGTTTTTGGTTCTCTCTGTGTAAGTGATGTTTGTGGCATGCCCCATAGGAGACAATGTTCCCAATCCATGGATAGTTCAGATCTGGAGGCTGACTGAAGGGTTAATGTATAAGATCTTCCCTACCCACAGCCCAAGGCTAGGGACAAGGAACTTCCCTAACATATTCTTCTGGGATTTGTTTCAACCCAGACCCACCTTGGGGAACTATTCCTTAAAAAACAGGTCTTGAGGTAAACATCCAGGGACTTGGCCAGTTCTTGGGTATTGACCTGAGACATTTTTGACATAATAAAGATTGTTCTTGAGGTCGGAGAGTTTTGGCCAAAACTCTCAGGTCCTTAAGAGCAATCACCTGATCCTTGGCTCCCTGCCTTCTTTGTGTAAGGATGATAAAAAGGGTCTTTCTTGGGAAAGTGACTTTGGGAGTCTCCCCCTTGGAGAGGAGCTCTGCCATAGTGACTTTCCCAGCCGAGACCCTGACAGCCGTGATACAGGACTCCCCCAGACAGATGTGCAGGAGTTGGTGCTTCCTCGGATTGGTGATGTATTTCTTCCTCTTTATCTCTCTGTTTTTCTGTTAGTAGTCTTTGTTTCTAAGATTGTATGATCACATGTAATCACATTTTTGTGCATGTATGTTTATGATTATCATCATTATTAAATCATTTATAAGCTAGGAAAAGTGTGAATGTATCTTTGTGGGTACAGATCTGAACCTGTGAAACAAATTATAAGTGCTGCGCAGCCTGTAACACCTTACTGTTTCATGGGCCTTTTGACTGAGTCCAAGTTCTACAGAACAAATCCTTTTATTAAGGGGATTTGTTTTGTGAAGTTTGGATTCAGTCAAAGGGCCACCCTTGAGAACCTAGAGGTTCACATCTGGCCTCAAGGCTGAAGGTTCCCCACTTCTGGACTCACTCTAGATCAAATATAAAATCCCTTGCTTGGCTTACCTTTCCAATCTTCTTACACTTTACTCCTCTCTACTACCACTACATGATCCAGTGACATTTCCCTCCTTGCTGTTGCTCACATAAAAACTCTATGTCTCAACTCTGTGCATTTTCTTTTTTCTTTTTTCAGTGAGGCAATTGGGGTTAAGTGACTTGCCCAGGGTCACACAGCTAGTAAGTGTCAAGTGTCTGGTCTGAGGTCACATTTGAACTCGGGTCTTCCTGATGCCAGGCCCGGTGCTCTATCTACTGTGCCACCCAGCTGCCCTGACTTTGTGCATTTTCACTGAATGTGTTCCATGCCTGGAATGCTCTCCCTCTTGGTCTCTGTCTCCTGACTTACTTGGTTTCCTTCAAACCTCAGATAACATTGTATCTTCTGCAAGAGTATGTGGTCTCCCTAATTAGATTGTGAATTTTTGCCTTTCTTTGTATCTCCAGTGCTTAACATAGTTCCTGGCACATAGAAGGTACTTAATGAGTGCTCCTTGACTTGTTGACACAGAACAGCTGGAAGTGTGACATCTATTAGGCACTACTCACCCCCGGAATCAGTCTATGTTTACTATGTTTACCTATGTTTAATTAGTGTCATAGCAGGATCTGGTGCTATTTACATTGGTTGCCACTGAATCCTCCTCTCCTCCTCATAGGACACTGCAAAAAGCAGGTTCCAAAGTGGAAACTGATTCTACAGGTAGGGTTTCTTCATCTGATCCTTTGAATTTGTGTTCCTTCCTCTTAGTCATAGACTTAGCCACTGCACAAAGGAAATGTGTTGTGTCTTTGTGTTCCTAGAAAAGCAGGTTGGGAGAACAAGAGAAGAGGAAGGAAAGCCTTCAAATTATGGATGGCTAGAAAAAGTTTGTAGAAGGGGCAAGAAATTACTTGAACTGCTCAGGTTGTTAAGGGTAGTGGCTAAAACTGATCACTGGTCATTGGATTAGGGTAATTTAGGCTGTTGTCTAAGAGGACATTTGTAAGGCACCCTTCCCAACCCTTGTCTCCACAAGTAATGAAGTACACGTGGTTATACAGTCTCATCTTCCACCCCTACTCCTGGGTTCAGAGATAGGTTAAGGCGATTCTTAAGGTTATAGTCCTTTTTTTCTCTTTTTAACTTCCCCTGAGTATTCTTGATACAACTTGTCCTCTTGCTGCTGGGTTCTGAGTCATTTATGGTAGAGGACACAGCTTGTACATAATCCCCAAACCTGCTATTGCTCACTTTTCCCACTGTCTTACCTTATTGCAAATGTTAAGGTACCCAGATCCAAATGATCTGGATATCCCTGGGTACCATTTCCAGTTTCAAATGGATCATGTAACCAAGACCCAGGCGACCCTTGTATAACAGGGACATATGTAGATAGGTCTGGAATGTCTCACTCCATGTTTTTAAGGAAATTGGAGCTCCATTTTTGTAGGGAGAAGGAAGATGGCCACGCCTGAGTGATTATTCTCTCATTCTTCTGTCTTCAGGGGAGACATTGGGCTCGAGATCCCATGATTTTCACAACAATTTTTTGAAGTCCACAGAAACAATTCTTTTTTTGTTATTTCAGGATAAAAGTCATTTTCCTTGGTCATTCTAGTGGGTTGAGGGAAGTAGTCCCATTTTAGAACTGAAGAACAATAGCTAGTTTAATTTCATCAAGTTTATTTCCATCTTCTATAAAACAATGATCACATAAATGACCATCATGGATACTGAATGAACATATCAAAACATTGTAACAGCAATGGGGAAGCCATGTAGAATACACAAGAGTTAGGGATGCTTTGGTACATCACAGGGAGACGAAATCTTAGTTCAACTGGGGAGAGAATTATCTCATCCAGTGAATCCAGTGTTAGCACTTTTTGGGGATGGAGGTCCTGGGAATCAAAGTTGATGTTGGGGTGCCAGCTTTCCCCCTACATGCTTGTGGTTATGGAGGTTCTTCTGTTAACATTCAAAGTTCATAACTTCTCCTCTCGCCCCATACCTCTTTCTCTCCTCTCCTTCCCTCTCAAAAATCTCTTATCCAAACAGGAGAGACTACATATATGAAGCAGTCACAGGCTTGTCCTTTAGTGGGTAGGGCTACAAACACAAATGCTACTACGGATACCAGAGCAAAAGGAGGCAAAAAGAAGCAAATGGGACAATCAGCAAATGCCAGGCCTATTTAGTGGCACAATAGCTAACATTTATAGAAATGTTTAAAGTTTTGCAAAGAGCTTTATATACATTATGCTATCTATGCCTTACAATAATCATGTATGTGAGTTAAGTACAACAGGTATTACCTTTTAAAGATGTAGAAACTGAGGCACAGAGTGATTAAATTTCTTGGGTAGGGTCACATATCTAATAAGTGGCAGAAGCAGAATTCAATTAGTTCTATATCTGAAATCCAGTGCCCTTTGAGCAATGCCATCCTGCCTTAACTCACACATCATATTTTTGATTATGAATATTTAAGTATCTGTCTCCCCTGTTTGATTATCAGTTCCTTGAGGGCACGGACTGTATCTTCCTGTTCTTTGTATTTCTCTCAGGGCCTAATCCAGTATTCGGCACAGAGTAAATGTTTACATCAGGGCTAGCCTGCCACAAAATGAAGAAGCAAGAAAACTCTGTCTTTGACAGTATTCTCTACACTGTCTTAGATGCCTATGGACTTCATGCAACCCTCAGATGTTTAGCTCCCCTAAGGAGGCCCTACACTTAGGACAACCTTTTCTCAGCAGCATACCATTTTCCAGAAATTTCCAGCTTTCAAAACTGTCCACCTACACATACCTGCCCAATATCCCTTCCCTCCAGGGATCTACTTTTGGCACTACCAAATGACAATGAGCTAATTTGAAAAGGTGAGACTTGTTGATGTGTTGATGTGGGAGGGCTTTTCTGCAGATAATGCCTTAAGCCAAAGTAGCTACTCTTGGTTGGGATTTCTGTCCAGGTAGGAGGAGAAGAGAGTATTTTAGCAGGTCAAGGAGGGGAGAGAGACAGGCAGAGAGAGAATAAAATAATAGAAATAGGGCTAGAAGGAACCTTAGAGATAATTTAGTCCAGCTCCTTTATTTCAGAGGTAAGACACTGTAATTCAAGAGATTTATCAGAAGTGATTTTTCAGAGACTCAAAGGAGCTGGAATTAGAGCCCAGATTTTCTGACTCCAAATTCAGTACTATGGATTGCACTGTACTATATCATAAGTAAAGTAGGTTTCCAGAAATCATAGTAATCATAGCGCCCTAAGCCCAGCAGAAGGAAACGACTCATTGTTTCTCCAATCTAACAAAATGAACTCAACTAGACAAAACTGTATTAAGCAACTATATGTATAAAGCACCACAATAGGAGATACCCTGTTTCCCAGAGCTAACGACCAGCAAGCAAGCTGTGCCCTGAGCTCGGCATAACGACAATCCTTTGCCCTCACCTTCTGGAACTGATGGTCCCTGAGCTCAGGCGAGCACCAGCAAGCCCAGACATTGTTACCAGACAACCTTGCCTCACTGTTACTGCTGTGCCTCACTACTGTTGCTACACTACACTGTCTGACTCTTTTTCTAGCTACAAGTATATAAATCAAGGTTCAGCCACAGTAAAGTGGATCCCCCTACTAGGAGCAAGGCTCTGCCACATCTGTTCTCCTTGCCTACAAGCTGTTTCCTTCACTTTGAAATTAAACTTCTATTTGATTCCTGACTCTCCCGTCTCTCCTCTGCTGTGTTCGGCTTTGACCATCCACAGGTGAGAGGCCAGTTTAGTCCAGTTAGCAGTGCTAAGAGTTATAAAACTGAAAAAGAAATAGTGTCTGCCCTTAAGAAGGCTACATTCAACTTACTTTCCTTCACTCAAATTATTTCTGCTGCTTGGAATGCCATCACCCCATCTCTACCTAAATCCTACTCATCTTTAAAGGGCAATTTGGATCCCATCTCGTTAAAAAATCCATAGCAGGTAGGTGGCGCAGTGTGTGACCAGTGAAATGACTGGCCCTGGAGTCAGGAGGACCTGAGTTCAAATCCGACCTCAGACACATAACACTCACTATCTGTGTGACTCTGGGCAAGTCATTTAACCCCAATTGCCTCACCAAAAAAACCAACCAAACAAACAAAAATATACCTGATTCCTCTCCCCAGGGATCTCTCATTTCCTTCCATAGAACACCACATCCAGGGTCATCTCCAGTCGTCCTGGTCTATATCTTGTCACTGGACCCAGATGGCTCTGGAGGAGAGAGTGAGGCTGGTGATTTTACACAGCCCTCCATCACTTCAATCCAATTCACTCGCAAGTCATGGCATCACCTTCCTGATGTCATGGTCCTCTTTGAGAAAGAAGGACAAACAACAACTTTGCCTATACCTCGTGTCAGTTATCAGAATCATCTTTGTATTCTATGCTGTTGTTTGAGTATATCTTTTCACATACTGCTCCCCCAAACCCTTCATTGTGAACTTCTTGAGAGCAGGAACTATGTGTTACACATCTCTATATCTTAAATAGTGAAGACCCATTCTTTTTACATAGTAAAAAGTCTATGAACATTTGAATGATTGGATGCAGGAATAGGCAGTCACCTTGGGTTAAAATTGTATCTTTTTCTGGTCCCCCTGACCACCTTCCCTCCCCCACTCCCCGATAAGTATCCAGTATAAAAGAACAATAGCAGGAAATACAATTGCAAAAGGGAACCCGAAAGTCATGTACAAACTGTCCCAAAGATCAAAGGAGCATAATTTATGAATTGTATCATATATTGACCAAAGTTCACATACTGGTCATATTTGCTGAATCAGAGGAAGTCATTTAGGCGCTACTTGTCAAGGTTTCTGGTCCTATGGTATGTAAATTCCAGACAAAATCCAGACCTCCACAGTTCTAGAGCAGCAGAACATTAAAAATATACCAGTAACTGAGATGTAACTTTGAAGTTTCACCAATAACTTTGAGAAGATTTGGATATGTTAATGAACTAACCTCAAGGCAGCACACATAGGAGTTACCCTATAAAAATGGGATCTCAAATTCCTGTTGGACCCCCTTCCTACCCCAACATTCTTCCAGGTCCATGCTGCCTAGTGCTCCCAGGTCTAATCCATGGTTAAGTGAGTGACACACTTTACCTCTCCCCGTATCTGTCCTCTGCCCCAAGCTGCCTTCCTTTACCACCCCATCACCTGTTCCCATGCCCGCCATCTGCCTCTGTACCACTTTTTGCTACTTATCTCTTTCTTTCTGTTCCTTTTGTACCCAAACCTTCTGCATTTAATGAAAGTGTGTTTGCCATCTGGTTTCCCACTGCCAACAGTGGTCTTTTCCAGTGAATACCCAAAGGACTGCCCATATCTTGTGCTATAGGAGGGGAGATAGATACCATTACATTGCTCCTTTAACAGAAGAGTTGCCTCAAGGCTGAAAACTACTTTTCCTGGCACGAAAGGAATTCTAGGAGGATAGGAAAAAGAGTTAGGGGCAGTGGGTGATCTCACCCTGCCAGGCCCATCATGAGTCACTCTTCTGGGAATCATTCTTCAGAAGGGTATGTCACTTCTTAGAGGATGAGGAAGTCTCTTGGCTGCTGCATTTCAAGTGACTTGTCCCCAGTTCCCTTGCAGAAATGGCTTTCAGATTGAGAAATCATTTGGCCCAAGCAGTAGGAAACTGGGATGAAGAGGCAGGCCTTCCTTACAAGGGTCAACATTCAACTCAATCATTTAGTAAACATTTCTTACTTTACTACTATGTAGAAAGCACTGTGCAAGATATGAAATATAAAGATAAATAAGACAAGTTCTAGTCCCCAAAGAGCTTACAATCTGGGAATTCAGGGATGGAGGAAGTAGAGGACTTGTGTTACTGATAAATATAATTTAAATTCCAATAGGATAAGATAGAATATAATGAGATCAGATGAAGGAAAGTCACTTTCAGCCACAAAGAGCTTTCTCTTAGGTACAATGGGGAGCTTCATGAAGATCCACGTCTGATAGGAGGAGATATAACCCTTTCACTAAGGGAGACACTCATTTGATGGAGAAGACAGGCTATGTAAGCACATACTCATATTCACATGAAATAATCTCAGATTATAGATAAAAATGTTGACCCAAACGATAAACTCAAGGAAATGAATTCAGATATCAACTTAGGGGTCAAGGGAAACTCTGAGGTAAGTGTAATGATCCACATGTCAGTCACTACACAAAACTTTCCTTCCAAGAATTCTAAGTTTGGATGTAGCGAAAGGAGAATTGTATTTCTAGTTCAACGTTGCAGACATCTCTAATCCCCTTCAGAAGCAGAAAAGAGACAAACTGTCTGGATTTAGAGTTAGATTCTTATTCCATCTCCTTCAAGTCTCTGACAAATCACTTCATTTCTCTGGGCTTCAGTTTCTCCACATGAAAATGTGGTGGAGGTTGAATAGAAATTTCTGAGGCCATGTCCAAGTTCAACCATCCGTGCATCTATAAAGGAGTAGGCTCCTGTTTTATCACAGAGACTCAGGAAGGCAGTGCCAGAGAGGTTTTTATTTTGACTCCATAGAGTCTTGGAGTCAGAAGCCCTGGGTTGGATTACTGCACCCTAAGATAGGACAGGTAAGAAGAATTAAAATCAGCATTGCAAGACATGCCAATAGCTGTAGAGTGAAGTAAGCAGAACCAGAAAAGTGATCTATATGTCACTGGTGAACTGGTTCAGAATATTCAACCCGGGCAGTCCCCATGTGGAAAAGACTGTGAACTTGATTCTGGACAGGCATGGGAACATGTAATGGTAGGCTCTTGCTCCCTCATTTACAGCATGTTGTATTCTGGAATGGGTCCACTAATCTTATGGTTTGGCTGTGAATCTGGAACTAGGGTATCTTTCAAAGGCAGTAACCAGAAAAAAACGAGTCTCCTGGAGGCTGGTCCTCATTCCTACCTGGCTGTAAGAAGGCAAGCAGTAAGCTTTCAGCAGGGAAGGGGAAGGGAACAAGGATTCATTAAGCTCCTACTATGCACCAGATTCTGTGCCTCACTTTAGAACTATTATCTCATTTAATCCTCACAACAGCCCTGGGAGGTAGGTGCTATTCTAGTCCCATTTTTCCGGTTGAGGAAACTGAGGCAGAAAGAGGTTAAGTAATTTGCCTGGGATCACACTGCTAGCATCTGAGGCTAGATGTGAACTTGGGTCTTCTTGACTCCAGACACAGTGCTCTAAGCACTGGGTGACCTAGCTGGGGAGGAAGGCCTCAGGTCTTTGCCATCTGGCCCCTGAGCATACTGCCCTATTGTTGCTTTTGTCTCTCTTGTGTCTTTTCTTTACTGCATGTAGGTGAGCGAGACTGGAGATGTTTATGACACTGTGAACTTCAAAAGGTCAGGAGAGAAAGCCATGAGATATCTGGCAGCTGGAGTCCATACCAGGGTTTGCCAGAAGACTGATGGGAAGAAGGGATTGATGGGATGCTAATGATGGACCCCTAAAGGGCCCTGGACTTTCCCACGCAGCCCAGGTTGCTGGCTTTCACCTAGGGCACCTGGCCCTTTCCAGTTAATAATCCTTTGAACTGCCCTTTCATTGTGGCCCTCAATGTCTGTATCTGGTTCCACCCTAGACAACCACTCCTGAATCCCATCTAGACCCCTTCTCTGTAATCTCCCAGTCACCTCAAGCTATTGACCACACTATAAAAAAGGTCAGCCTCTACCAAATTGATCTGATTCCTTAAGATTCTGGCCCACATGGTCGTAATAGCACGGGTTCTTAAAAGGCCCACATGCTTCTACCGGCGAAACAATAAACTTTGTCTCTGACTTTAAAGAAGGCTTGAGTTGAATTCTTTTGACGCAGGACCTGCGCCTTTTGCCCTTGAATTTTGGGGTTCCCAGAACCTCTAGACCTCAACAGGATGACCTAAGCAACCTGCTTGGATCAGTCAACCAGTAACAGAGATGTGGCCTCATCCTTACATACACTGTACAACATTTGGAAGTGAACTTGGTGGGGTCAATAATATGTAGAAACTCCTCTAAGTCCATTTTCCACAGAGACAGAGGTGCTATAGTGTATTCTCCAGGTGCTGAGAGATAGAGTGTTTGTTCTTGCTGTATCTTTGTAAAAGATAATTTACGTTAATTGGTTACATAGAGCTGAGGAGCTAATCACTGGCAGCGAACATCTGGAGAGATAACACACAGGTAGGGGCTTGAGCTGACACCATCCGAGAAGAATCATCCCCAACCTGTAAATTGTACCTAGAATTCTTGGTGGTGGGGTGCTGCCTCACTCTGGAAGATTGAGCTCAAACTATTGCCTCATGCACAAACTAAATTGCAAATCGAAAGAACAAAAAAAGGGAAATTGCACACAATGTTATTATAAAGACCAAGCTTGGCCAAAAGAAAAGTTGTGAAAATGTACCTCCCTCCCTTCTTTGCAGAGGTGGAGGACTATGGATATAGAACATTGCACAATTCAACACAGTTAATGCTTTTAATTGGTTCTGTATTTGGTTGAGTTGAATGTTTGTTTACTTATGTTCTGCATTTTAGTAACTCTAGGTCTTGAACCAGCATCTGAGATAAGAAGCAGTCCAAAAGTAGTTTTGTTATTCAACCTCTTAGTTGCGCCCAAGGTAGAAAAGTCTCCAATTCCATATATAGAGGAATTTCCTCACCAATGAATGGTTCCTTCCTTAAAACCAAGAAATCAAAGGCAGCTAGGTGGTGCAGTGGATACAGCACCGACCCTGGATTCAGGAGGACCTGAGTTCAAATCCAGCCACACACATATAACACTTACTAGCTGTGTGACCCTGGACAAGTCACTTAACCCCACTGCCTAGCCAAAAAAGAAAAAAAACCCAACCCCCCCCCAAGAAATCAGAGGTCTGGATCAAAAATCAACAAACTTATGCTTACCTCACTAGGTTACAGGTGAAAGAAGGAGTTTTATAAACCTGAAAGCATAAAATGAGTTAAGACTTTGTAAGGGAGTTTGATCAGGGCAAGTTCTCCAGGCAACTTGAATTATCAAACCCCCATATACTCTGATAGGCACTCCCTCCAACATTCATGTTCTCACAAGAGCTCTACTTAACCTTCTAGGCTCTTCTTCCAGTTCTCTGGACATTTGTTGGATGCCTGGGGATCACATGTGAGTTATGATTATTGCTTGATTTGGTAATAGGACCAGGAAGTTGTATACATGAAGAATGTACTGATCTCGCATTTCCAGCAGGGGTGGGGCTTTTGATCATGCATAACTGGAATGCTTGTAATTGCAATTGGTTATCTACCCTTTAGCCTTTAATTTGGAAAGTTTATAACCTCTTATCTACAATTTGGAACAAAGAGCTCTCTTGCTAAGGATTAGAAACTGCAGTTTCCCTCCATCTCCTCCATGAAAATACCGTAAAATTCTATACCCTAAAAGAGTAGTTTATTTCCATTTAGATGTAGCAATAGAAGCACAACAAAACTATAATTACTTATACATAGGCACAATCACAATTTAACAATATGCTATGAAGGGTAAAATTTTCTGACAGACATGTCCCTTATTTCTCATTTTTCTGTATTTCAATTCAGGCAACTATCCACGTTCCTTATGCTACTCCTGTTTCTACTCTCACCTAATTCATTACCTTAGAACCTTCTGAGTAAGGAAATTCAATTAAAAAAAACCCGACCCCATTGAGTAAGCAGCTCCTACATGCAAGGCATCGTGCTAGAGGCTTGAGATACAAAGATGGAAAATGATTGAGAACTTGCCATGAATAAGCTTGAAGTCTAATGGGATGAAAGAAATGACATGAACACAAATAAGTATGATATAACATAGGTTTTACTAGGGGCAAAGGGGAGCCAGCTAAAGTTTCATGAGAAATTTACAGAAGGAAAGATTATTTTCATCTGTGGAGGAGGTGGTTTCTGAGCTGGGCCTTGAGACAAAGGAGGAACTTAAATAGAAATAGGTAAAAGGAGAAATCTGTTCTAAGAATGGGGGGATATCATGAACAAAAACACTGACCCTAGAGGGAGCAGGAAGGGGAGGGGCAGACTAGAATATAACAAGGGTTATGAGGTAAGTAAAGCTGGAGAGGTAGGTTGGAGCCAGATTGTGGAAGGCCTGGAATGCCAGGGTAGGGAGTTAAACATTATCACGTTGGCAATACGGTTCTACTGAAGATTTTTCAAGTAGTGATATGATCAGAGCAACAGTCAGGAAGATTACTCAGACAGCAGAGTTAAAAATGGATTGGAGGGGCAGCTAGCTGGTGCAGTAGATGGAGCACCAGCCCTGGAGGCACTCAGACCCTGGGCAAGTCACTTAATCCCAATTGCCTAGCCAAAAAAAAGAAAGAAAGAAAGAAAGAAAGAAAGAAAGAAAGAAAGAAAGAAAGAAAGAAAGAAAGAAAGAAAGAAAGAAAGAAAGAAAGAAAGAAAGAAAGGAAGGAAGGAAGGAAGGAAGAAAGAAAGAAAGAAAGAAAGAAAGAAAGAAAGAAAGAAAGAAAGAAAGAAAGAAAGAAAGGAAGGAAGGAAGAAAGAAAGAAAGGAAGAAAGAAAGAAAGAAAGAAAGAAAGAATGGATTAGAGGCCTTGACTCCAGAAGACCAAAGGTCTTTTTCACTTTCTGTCAGCAGAGAAACTTGGACTGTAAGTGTGGCTATGTGAAGACATATATTATCAGATATGGTTAATGTTTTGCTTAAATATGCTTCTTTGTTATATGGGAGGGTTCTGTGGTAACGGGGTCATGGAGAAAAGACATAGAAATAAAAATAAAGCATCGATAAAACTTTTTTTCTTTTTTAGAAAAAAGAAAGATGTTAAAGAAAACAAACCCAGGCCAATTTCCCTTACATAGTACGATCAAAGATTTAGATTTAAGGAGGAGACTTTGGGGGGCATTGAGTTCAACCAATTCATTGTTCAGATGAAGAACCTCAGGCACAGGTAAACGAAGTGACTTGCCCAAGGTTATATAAGTGGTGTCATAGACAGGACTTGAACACAGGTCCCGTCACTCCGGAGCCACACACTCTTTCCTCTGTACCGCACTTTGATATGTTCGTGTACTGGGGCAAGTTGCCAAGTCTAACATATTTATGCCTAATTTGCATCAATATGGATACATCCATGTCTGATATCTGACAATGTATTTGATTCTTCAATATCACTCTAGGTCAGGTTATTCCTTTTCATTTCACAAATGAGGAAACTGAGGCTCAAAGTACTTAACAGCAAGCACTGAATCTAGTAAGCATCCACCCATTCATCAGCAGAAGTTAAATAACTTGCTCCTTGTCACATGGCTATTGTCAGAGATAGTCTGTTGTTTTTTTTGGTTTGTTTAAGTGACTTGCCCAGGGTCACACAGCTAGTAAGTGCCAAGTGTCTGAAGCTGGATTTGAACCCAGGTCTTCCTGACTCCAAGGCCGGAACTTTATCCACTGCGCCACCTAGCTGCCCCTCAAAGATAGTCTTTGAACCGAGGTTTTCCTAAGTCTAAGATGATAATTAGTTTTGGACATACAGTTTGTGGAAATGCAGGTGAAGATATCCTGCAGGTAGCTAGCTATAAATACAGGACTGGAGCTTTGGGGAAGGCTGGAGGTGGGTATGCAGATTTGGGAGAACAACTTAACCTCACACACAGGTCGCCACCTAAGTTCGCAAAACAAAATGGTACTCTTTACGAACTCTTAAGCATTTATCACTTTGCCTAGTGTCATAGGACATTTGTATATCTTACTAGACTATACACTTCTAGAGGGCAAGGAGTGGCTTTTATCTAACTTTGCATTCTCCAGCATTCAGCACAGAACCAGCACATAGCAAGCGCTGAACTGATGTTTTGAAGCGGAATTAAAAGATATCAACTCGCTTCAACAAATCCTACTGTCTACCCACAACGCCCCAGGCTAGGGAGGGGAGAGATTATGTCATCGTCAGCTCCTCCCATTGGTTGGGGGAGGTCCTGGAGCGCGGCGCGATGACGAAGGACGCCGGAGGGGAGGAGAGCGAAGGGAGGAGGAGGAGGGAAGGAAGTGCACAATATGGCGGCGACTGTGGCTGCTGGGCCCGGGGAGGGCAGAGCTGGAGGCGGCGCCGCGCTCTCTCCCTAGGGGCTGCTGTAAGGGCTGCGGGGACCGAGCCGGAACCTTCGGCCGGCCGGCCGACCGGCGCCGAAACCTTTCAAGTCTCGGCGGCGGCCGCGGCGCTCGGGTGAGTGGCCGGCAGGCTCTGGGGCCTCCCCTCTCCTGGGGAGATCGACCTGGGCAGGGGAGGGGGAAGGGGAGGACGGAGGGACGTGGGCTGAGGGCGGGGTGAGGGGCGCGAGCGGGGGGCACGAGCTGAGGGGCGGGCTGCGGGGTGAGGGGGCACGGGGTGAGCGGCGCGAGGACCTGCGGCTCGATCGGAGGGGCGGGGTGAGGGCTCCGGCCCTTCCTGGCCTCTGGGACGTACCGGTGAAGTCTGAGGGGTTCGGGAGGGCAGAGAGGCCGGGGGGAGAGGATGAAGGGAAAAGGTGCCGTGGGCAGGGGGTCCGCGGGGCAAGATGGGGGCGAGTGAGAAGGTTTTGGGGAGGGAGGAAAGGGAGGAGACACTGCTAGGGGTCAGTGTCGGGTAGAGGGACCTGGAGTAGGGGGATAGCGGGGAAGGAAGGAGGGAGGGGCTGTAGGGAGAAGGGAGGTGGGCTGGGATGAAATTAGGGGGGTCTGGGATGTGGAAGAGTGACCCAGAATCGAGGGAGGTCCCCGAAGGAGGCCCAGGACTCTTGTAATGAGGGAGGTAGAGGGTAGGAGGCAGCAGTAAGTTCACAGTAGGATTTGGGTAATGTGCCCGATTGTCTTTTTTCTTAGTATCATATCTATATCTCTCGATCTCTGTCTGACCTGTCTGCCTGCTTGTCTGTCTCTTGTAACTTAGAATAGCTGTCCCCCAAATGAGACAGAAGAGGAATTTAGAATCTCAGTTGTGGGTATTGAGGGTCAGATTCCATTTCGTGGAGGACTGATTCCTAAACTTTCTGGTGTTGCCACACACTTGTTTGGAAGACATCTAAAATTTTGCTCAGGCATAGAAATCGATAAAAAAAAAAAAATTAAAAAGCCATACGGTTTTGAAATTTTTTTTTGAAAACAGCAAGATAATTGGGGACACTCCTGGGTGTTATAAAACCAAGACTGGAAATCATTGGTTAAATTCTTAAGTTTATTTTATTATTGGTCTGTCACTCATTTATAAGCTTTGCTTTCCCCCCTTCTCCCATCTCTCCTCTCGATGGTATTTCTGTTCATTATTATCTCTTCAGATTTGGTCATAAAGGAAAAGTCAAATACATCTCTTTTATATCTGTTAAAATTGAGGTTTGAGTCTTTAGTAGCCACTACCTTTTAAGTTTTGTAAATTGAAATTGTTAAATCCCAACCTAGTTGACTGGAAAAATCTACTGTATATTATTTAAAGTTCAAGAATATTAAACATCCCACAGAATTTAATCGGTGTCTGTTAACTCATTAAGCTACTACTCATTTCCTTTAAAGAAACTCCATGAAGTGATAGCTTATAGCTAAAAGCTATTTCATATTATTAATAAGAGCCCCTCCTCATTAAAAGGAATGTTTTCAAAGTTTCTACTTCTTGTTGATTTAGCATTTCTCTGTCTTATAGGGTGTCTTGGTGCAGTTTTAGCCTTTAAAAGCTTAAAATGTAACCAAGACTGTATGGTAGATTTGCAAATAATGTGATACTATTCCATGGGATTTGGAAATGTACAGTGTCATTTTTACAAATGGGGTAGCTGGAGCTGGGACAGAGAGATTTAAAGATGACACAAAATAATTCAAGTTCTTCCTGGATTTCAGTTCTGTTTAGTCCAGAACTTGTTACATCTCAATATTATACCTTTTTATTTGCCAGAAATATTTTCCTCTAATTTTAACCCTTGTTTTGAAGGAGACCATGGCAACATGCATAGTGTTAGATTCATGGGAAGATTATTTTGGACAGAATTATTATTTTCAACTTGTCCTTCGATTGACCAATTATTCTTGTGCTTTGTTTTGTTTTGTTTGTTTTTGTTTTTGTTTTATCCTTTTGATTTCTGAGGCAAAGTGTTAAGATCTTTGGAGATTT